GTCCAGGTGCGTTTGGGGTCAAAGAGCGAGACGGGTGGCAGCTGGAGAGGAAGCAGCCCGGCGGTGAGATGAGGAAGGAGGCACGTCCTCTGTTGCGGTTTGTCTGGCTGTGTGTGTGTGTCATGGCTGCAAGACCGGGAAGTGCGCAGCTGCTTGTGAAGTCCTGGGAGACACCAAGGGGGGTCTGGAGGTCACCTCCCCACAGGTCCACCACGCAGGATGGGGAAGGCCGGTTGAGTTACCTTCAGAAACTCCACCCGCCTCCATCCAGCGTGATCTGAGGAGGGTTAGAATAGCTGCTATGTGGGGTTTGCTTAAATCTTGTTTCATGTGTGTGTGGGGGAAGCATACACACACACATATACACACACACACACACACACACAAAGGCACAACCAGAAAGCAGCCGGCCTTAGCAAGGGCCATCAGGACTCGGTACCCTCCCAAATGGAGAACTGACACCCACGGGGTGCCCAACCATGGGCACATCTTGACACAACCGGTGTTGTGTGATGATCTGGATGCGCGCAAGGCGTGGAAAAAGGGGATTGCTTGGAATGGGATGCTGAACCTCCCCCAATTCTACAGGCCTGCGGTTCTGGCTAGTTTCTGGGTCACATGTGGAGCAAATGCTCCTGTGTCAGGTTTGGTTGTTTTCTTGCAGGCATTTCATGCGCAGAATAGGTTGTATCGTGAGTACCCGTCCAAATGCACGGATGATGTTGCCTAGTTGGGTCATGAAATGCTTGCAAGAAAACAGCCAAGCTCAGAGAGCACTGAGGAGCCCAGTCTCCTCCTCCTCCTCCTCAACCCCCTTCTTTCTGTCACTGATGATGCTACCTAGTTGGGTCACGAAACACCTGCAAGGAAATAGCAGAGGTTTCACGAGAGCACCAAGGACCCCACAGTCCTCCTCCTCTTCCTCCTCCCCAGTTCCACAAACTCCACTACCTTCTGGGGACTGATGAGGTTACCGAGTTAGTTCTTGAGACACCCGTAAGAAAAGAGCCAAGTTCAGAGAGCACCAAGGACCCAACAGTCCTCCTCTTCCTCCTCCCTGTAGACCCCACTCCCTCCAGCACTGGGGTTCCCTAGTTGGGTCATGAAAAGTCTGCAAAGAAAACAACCGAGCTCAGAGACCACCAAGGACCCCACAGTTTAACCTGGAGCTAAAGGGTTTCTCTTCCTTGTAACTGACTGACTGGGTTAAACGATTGTATGGAGGGGCGAGGCAGGCAGAGGAGGAAAGAGAGAGATTACCGGTTGGGTTCCTCTCCCCAGGCCCTTTGCCGCGCCTATTTCACGGTCCTGTGAGGTGGTCCAGGCGGCTGCCTCAGCTGATGTTCAGCTGATTTTTTTTTTGTAAAAAAGTTGCATCTTGATGCCAGCTGCCTGAGAAAGATATTTTATTCCGAAAGGCAGGTCTAAAAATAACAGCCGAAGAACAAAATCAGACCTGCGGAACAAATATCCGAGCATCCTTCGAAGAATGGAAGGTTGTCTGGCTTTGCAGGGATCCAACTGTTTTTCTTCCGCCGCCGTTGCTTTGCTTAAAGCCTCTTTTGTGAGAGAAGCAGCCAGGAGGGAAGAGAAAAAAAAAAGGACCGAGAACAATGGGAGTCGCACACAAACACACAAGACACACAAAATTCCTCTCGTCAGGACCCCTTCCAAGCTCATTGTTGAAATCTGGCAGCAAGCGTGTCGCTTTTCTGCAGTCTTTGTGTGCGGTGTGCGTGCAAGTGCGTACGTGCCCTGGTTTTTTTAAAAAAGGGAGATTAAATTGCAGAGAGGTGCGTTAAAAGCTTTGTTAGGCTTAACGTGTCTATTCTGAATTAAAAATCATCCCGGTTTCTCCTGACGCAAACAGGGTGAAAAACATCAGGCTCTGAGATATTCCTCTTTTTGGAGGCCCCAATTAAATAGAATATTAAAGCTACACACACACACACACACACACACACACAGAGACACGCACCTCGCCTTTCTTCAGGAGCCCTGTACATTCGCTTGGTGTAATGTTGTGTGAAACTTCTTTTATACTTTAAGTGAAAAACCTGTTTGGGCTGGAGAGGCATTTTGATTCAGCTCGGTTTTATTGTTCTGTGTTGGAATGACATTGATTTTTGTAAAGGCTGCCTGGAGACGCACTTTGGAATAAAAAGGGCAGCTTCTAAATTCTCCAAATATAACCGTTAATAACCGAGCTCTCCAGAACTGGGCATGGCATTTTAAATGGGTTGTGATTAAAGCCCCATAAAGCGGGATAAGGACCTTTTCCCCTGCTGATTCTTTTAATGATACATCCCAGAATTTTGGTTGTCTCCACAGCTGCCTGGCCACGCCATTTGCTCATTTTGCAGTCGCGTGCTATGATCAGCCTTAAATCCTTTTCTTTGGTTGTTCTAACACTGTGTTCCAAATATGATCCTACATTTAGAAACACTGAGCTGCAGTTTCCACATTTCTGGCAATTTCTTCAGCAACGCCAAATCGTTTTCCAAGTTATGAATACCCCAGTAGTATCAGCTATGCCACACACCTTTTGTATCGTCAGCAAATAAATAACTAAATCTTACCTAGCAATATTTTTGTTGTATCCCTCACACTGCCCAGAACAGGACCTAGAACTGAGCCTTGTGGCATGTCGCTTGTGACTGTTCAGGAAGTGCCCCATTGATCACACTGGGATTTATCCCTGGGCCAACTTCTTATCGGTTGAAACACCCAATGGCTAAGCCCTGGCTTGTACCATTTTTTTAATGGGCTTGTTGTGTGGAACTGTATCAAATGCTTTGCTAATTGTTTTCTAAAATTCCTCGTGTGTTCAGCCAAGCGAGGGAAGCTTTTTTATCCATGCATTTGGCTGCAGTAAATCACCACGTTCTGTTCTCTCCTGCATTCAAGCCAAGCCCAAGTCGCAAATTGTGACTGTAGAAGCAGAAATAAATTGTTCCTCCCAGTTCTGCAATTAGACTGCTGTAAATCCAAACATACCACATTCGAGAAAGCATCGAGTTCAGCAAGCGACAGAGAGCAAGCAATAAACTGGAACGAACTCAGAATCAGAGAATCCACCAGGCCAGTCATAATTTCAGTGGAAAGGAAATGTGAGATGGAGGAGGGAGGCACTGGGGGATTAAGAACAATAATTGTGGGCAACGACCAGGACACGAGAACACAAATAGTTGAGGGGATGGATGGACGAAGCACAGCAAATTTAACAGAGTAACAACAGAATAGGAAGCGACCTTGGAGATCTTCTAGTCTAGTCCAACCGCCTGCTCAAGGCATTCCAGACAAAGGACTCTGCAGTCTCTTGATAACAATATCGGGGGATTGACAGGGGAGCTGCTACTTCTTAAGTTAGAGCCCTGTCTTCTCACTAGCACTCAACACACCAAGGCCAAATCAACAGGATTAACCGAGTCAAAGTGAGCCACCGGGTTGGGGAGGAGGGGTGATTTAATTCACGTTTTCCTAAGACATCTTCAGTAGGAAAAAAGCTATGTAAGAGTCCCCTGATAGGGCTCTAAACTGGCACTATGTTCGGTCGCTTCTATGCTCACTAAAATCTTCCAATTGCATTCGCATTTGCCCTTCATCCTTCTCCATTTCCACAAATAAAACAGCGGGTCTCTCAAATCCTACTCAGCACTCAATCCAGGGGCTGTGTTGGCACAGTACGCACATTGTTGGTTAATTCAATGAATGGGTGTCTTGTGTGAACTCAGACACTGAGATTCTTCCTACAGATACATTTCCAGCACTGCCTTTTGTCCCAAGATCAGGGTGGCTTCAGTCCATCCTTCACACTAAGGCTGTTACTGCCAAACCTGCTCAATCCCCTTTGCCCTGGGTTCTGGTTGGCACAAGGGCATGTGGCTCTCCTGACTGGATTCATGCCAAGCCGTTTCCTTCGGAGACTTTGGACTCTGCAGCCAACTGCTCTCTATAGCTCCTTCTCTGTTCTTCCCAGGGTTTGGTAGTTCAAAGGTGGCTTTATCAAAGCTACCAATCAGGGTTGTCCCTTGGCAATGGGGCGGCATGGGCAGTGCTATCAAGTTCCAGGCTCCTTCGGGTAAAGGGTGCCCTCTGGGGGAGCATCATCGCACAGCCAAAGTTTACTGCAATTCTTTTGCAACTGTGGTAAGAAAGGTTGTAAAATGAGGCAAAACTTATCAACTATTTTGCTTAGCAACAGGAACCTTTGGCTCAAGTGTGGTTGTAAGTCAAAGGATACCTGCAATTCTTATTTCTCAATTCTTCCTCTTCCCTCAGTAGTTTTTAGCTACACTTAAGTCAACCTACGACTGCTAAATCTTTGGTACAGTATATTTGAATATCCAACATCACAGATCATTATATTAAGGAAATCTAGAAAAAGAAGAGCAAGACTGTTTTGTTTTGTTTCGCAGAGACTGTCTATACTCTGGATTCTGTAGCATTTACTGCTTGGGCAGGATCAACCAGAAGAGCATCCAAGAATATGCACACAGACAGAATTTTACAACATGCTTAACTAGGCCAATCCTGCAATTCCACTACCATCCTAAACTTGCTTATTGGGTTTAACATCACTCTTTTGTGCCCCTCATTTTGTCCTGGAAACAGGCAAACTTTTTTTTTTTCCTTTCAGCATCAACTACTGATCTCTTACCTGAAATTTTATCTCACAACTAGGAGACAAGTCACTTCATGAGCAGAGATGACATTACAATCGCAGCTCAACCTGTTAGCTGCTGTGACTGAACTTGAAACACGTAAGCAGCAAACTGTCTGGAAAGTGAATGGGAGGCCACCAGGATATTCCAGGGCTGTAGGCTAAACTGGAAACTTGGAACACACACCCAACTTATTTTTGAGTGGTGCCCAAAAGACCAAATCTCCCTTCAGCTCAGAAAATTGTGGTTGGATACTGACAACAGAACGCTAGAAAGCTAAGGCTTTAGGCTCCTAGGTTTTTGTTATGTTAATAAACGAGATGTGAGCCTGGAGAGTACTAAGAATTTTTTTTAATGGTATGATTGAACGCAAATAATCCACCAGTATTGTCAACGCAGCCACAGATAAAATTCCTGCCCCATGTAGGATCTCTGGAGCATCAATGCTTTCACAGATAAACGGAGAACCGCAGTTGCATCAGCTAAAAAGGGAAAATGCTCTTCATGACATCTTTCACTTTCTCAGGCAACACTCAGGCACCACTTATGGAGGGAAACAGAAGGACTGGAGATAACGATCAATTGTCTGAACTAGCAACCACCCTTTCATAGACCAAAGAAACCTTTTCAAACGTTGAAAAAAAACCCCTATAAATAAAATATACTAAAATAGTACTGTTGTACAATCTATGTTTTTTTTTTAACAATCAAATAACCTCAGCATTTTTCCAACCGTCTTTAGACATGATAAGCTGCACCTTCTGCATGCAGGGCAGTCAAGACAAGACCGTCTCATCTTTATGCTGTATCAAACAAGGCAATCTCTTCACGGGAAGGCAGTTGCTTCGGTTACAGCAGGGGGTCTCCAAATTTGGCCACTTGTGGACTTCAAACTCCCAGAATTCCCAGCCAGCGCATGGGAAGTTAAAGTCTACAAGTCTTACAGCTGCCAAGTTTGGAGAGCCCAGTGTTAAAACCAGAGAATATTATTAAAAAAAACAGAGCACCCTTCTCCTGTCGCCATCAAATTTTGATGGAAGCAAAGGATACCTGCCCTCTCACATAAGTAGATCCTAAGATTCGTGTAACATTCAATACTCATCCCCTGAGGAAAACAGGCAAACGTCATAGCTACCCCACCTTGGTAAACAGGCAGATTCTCCACATCTCCCTCAACCAGGAAGGCTCTTTTTTTTTTTAATCATTATTGCTTCAAGAACTCAAAACAACCCACCAGAGCATTTCTTTCCTTCCGAAAGGAAAAAAAGAACCACCTTGCCAGGTGCTGATGATCAACCTGACCCAGGCAGTTCCGAAATTTCAAGCCTCTTTTCTTCTACTTCCTTTAAATCAGCCTCTTTCCTTCCCTCGGGATCCTCAATCTTCCTCTCTCAATGTGAAAAGCGACCGGTTTTCTCTGGCTCTGTAGGCAAGTAATTTACTCAGCTCGACTTGAGGCTTATCACTTTTTTGGGGATTCTTCTCAAAAAGCTGAGGAAGGATGTTTTCCTGCATGGCTGGCCGCTCTCCCGCCGCCTTTCTTCCTTTTCGGCTGACTCTGGGACTCCGAATTCAGTGTTTCCAGCCAGAAGGCATTGAAAGAGCCGGGAGCCTGATACCCCGGCTCCTGAGGATCTAGCGGGTCTTTGCTCAGCAGAACACAAATGGCAGGGATGTTTCTCTTCACGGTCAAGGGGTCCAGGCCAGCCTCGGGCACGATGGGCTCCCAGATCTCCTCTATTTGCTGAAAGAACACTTTGGTGACCTGGTGGAGGCCCTTCAGCCTCCGCTTCATGATCTCCACACAGGTGATGGTCTTGTTGATGGCTTTGCCGACTCCGCTGAAGAGCATCTGCCTCGTGGTCTCTTGCTCCATCTTGCCAATGGCGTAGCCCATCAGATTCCGGATCTTGCTCCCATCCTTCACTTTCATTTCAATGATGTCTGAGGGCAAGTTGGCGAAAGGGAGGGGAGGCGGCTTCTCCACCACCTTGGACTTCTGGTAATTCTCCATGGTCTGCAGTGCTGTGAGGAAGGAGGACAGAAAAAGCCTTTCAGGGTCTAATTATGCTGTAGGGTTACAGACGCAAAGTCGGGGAATGTACCCTGCGGAAAAGATAAAGGTTTATCCGGTCCCTTGTTCCATCTTCAAGGGTGACAAAAAAAAAACCCCTTCAGACATGGGCCCGTTGTGCTAGAAGGGACATGCTGCAGACCCTGTTGCTCAAGGCATTCCTGCTGGCGGGGCCCAGGAGAAGAGCCTTTTCTGCTGGGGCTTCTGCCCACTGAAACACCCTCCCGCTTCCCTTCCCCAGTGAGATTTGCATCCCCCCCCGAAGATCTGACTCTGCCAACTGGCCTGTGTCCCAGATGGGGAAATCCCATTCTGGGGATGGTTAATGTGCTTCTCCCCTTATTCCCTTCCTCCCCATCTTGCAATTTTAACTTCATTCTAATGTTAATAATTTATGTTTTTTATGCTTAAATGCTTTATTTTGTATTTTGATTGTAAGCTGATTAGAGTCGGCTCTAGGTTAGATGGGTGGCATATAAGTTCAATAAATAAAAAAAAGGGGGGGGGAGGAGATAACTGTACAATGAAACAATGACTAAAAAACAGTTGAGCAGAGTCGGATCGTTTTAACTCAATCTAAGGTGCCTTCATCCCATTAAAGCATCCTTATCCCTGCCCTCCTTCACCGTGCACAAGGGAAGGCTTCAGTCACCCATCAGCAACTAACGCACAGCTTGCTTTCAGAAGTTGTGGGTGCCTCATCATCGGAAGCTTTCAAGAAGAAAACTTTGTCTGAAGTCATATAGGGTCTCCTGCTCAAGCAGGGGACTGGACTAGATGACTTCAGAGGTCCCTTCCGAATCTCTTATTCTACGTCCTGTCGCTTACGTGCAGCAAGTGAACTTTACTTTCAAGTTGCTCAAAGTCACTTTGCAGATGGAGATGGGACGGAATAAAATTGCACTAAAAATAAATACATTTTATTTAGCCCCAGAGAACCAGAGAACCGTGCGCTGGTTTGCATTTGTAAGCATTCCTCATGAATATCTCATGTTCAACAATCAGCCCTGTGCGAATTGAGAAGAAAATATTCCGTCATTTAAAGCCATCAATTTTAATCAGGTGATGCTGATTAAAATCAGTGATCAATTAGTCAAGCAGCCCCCACTCCTGCTGTCTCTCATTTCCTTTGGAAGAGGATGAGTTGCTGATGCCCTTTTGAATGTACTGTTAAGAGGAAGCATTATAGGACAATCTTTGACTTACAACCACTCGTTCTGTGACCATTTGAAGTTGCCCCGGGGAGGAAAAAAAAATGACAATTTTTCACACTGCAGCCTCCCTGCCGTGATCAAAATTCGGACTCTTGGCAACTGGCATGTATTGATATACCACCCAAATGGACCCCAGGTGGTTGTCATGTGATGGAGAGGCCGAAAGATCCTGGGTGGAAGCCACAAGTGTCACTTTTTGTGGCTTTGTGAGATCTTCTACACGGGCACCTTAGTTAGGAAAACGTCCAGCTTCACTGGGAATACAGATCGTCCTGGACTATCCAACCATTCATTTAGTGGCAATTCATAGTTATAACGAAACTGAAGAGACTCATGACCATTTTCACACTTACGACCACGGCAGCATCCCTCAGGGTTACCTGATCAAAATTCACCTGATCAAAATTCACCTGATACTTGGCAACTGACTCAGTTATGACGGTAGGCGTGTTCCCCCTTTTGCGACCTTCTGACAAGCCAAGTCAATGGGGGAACTGGATTCGCTTAACAACCACGTGACTAACTTAACAATGGTAGCGATTCACTTAACGACCGTGGCAAGACAGGTCGTAAAGTGGGGCAAAACTCCCTTCACAATAATGTTAATTACTGTTTCAGGTGCTTGGCAACTGGTTCACATTTAATAAAATGGGGCAATTCACTTAACCACCTTTTGCAACCATCTGACAAGCCAAGTCAACAGGGGAGCCCTGGCTTACCGAAGGTAGTGATTCACTTAACAACCGTGGCAAGAAAGGTCGTAAAGTGGGGCAAAACTAGCTTAACAGCCTAGTTTTCAACCCCCACCCACCCCAGAAAGTCCAGTTGCCTCTTGGGGAAAAAAAAAAAAGCACTTTGGGGACTTAGCAAAGGAAATTTTGGGCTCATTTGTGGTCGGAAGCTGAGGAACATCTATATTAGTGAATTATGCCTGTGAAATAATATTAATTGGTTACCTTTTGTGCATGTTATTCGGATTGCAGTGGAACAATTCACTAAAATTACCAGAGTGAAATAATATTACTTTGACTGCCACCCTGTGCATATTATCTGGATCGCAACGAAATAGTTCACCCACATTCGCGAATTATTGCGGTGAAAATAACTCAGGAATTATTTATCCCATGATTGTCACGAAATAATATTGCAGATGTTTTGGTTGGTTTGAATTATATCCCCAATTTTTGCACCGAATTTGGGGGGGGGGGATTTCTCTCAGGCCAGGCCGGCCCACCTCGCAGGGTTGTTGTTGTGGGGAAAAATAGGATTAAGCCAATTTTCTACCTCGAGTTATCCCAAACATATAAAATAGAGGATAAAAATCTTATAAAGGGCGAGATAAAAATTAATAAATGAATCAAAACGCGCCTCAGGGCCGCGCGCCGAGCCGCGGATTCCCCTCAAGAGCCGCTGAGGGATCCACTCGGGCTGGGTTAGAAACATGTGAACGCGGCCCCGGACGCTCTTCGCCCCATCAACGGCCACCTTAGTCCTCCCATCATCCCCGGCCCGCATCATCCCCCGCTCACCGATGGCCACCGACGCCGCCGCTCGGCAACCAAAATGGCGCCTTCCAGGTTCCCTCAGCGCGAAAGAAGGGCTGCGCATGCGCCCAACGCAGAGGGCGGGAAAGACGTGCGCCTGCGCAGAAAGGGAGCACCGCCCTTTTCTTCCTATTGGTCCAGAGCTGCTGTGGGCGGAATTCGCTCTCCAGGAAAACGCCTCCGTCACGTGGCATTGGAAGCCTGGCTTATTAAAAAAAAAAAAAAAAAAAGACTAAGCAAGGTTTGGTTGTTCTTTAACCAAGAAACGTTGTTTAACGTGGCTCAAGTTTTTCCCCGAGGTCCAGCCGGGTTTCAAGCTTTTGTTTGGGGATTGCTTATCGTGCGGTGATCGCTATTTTTATTTTTTTTGCAGTCTAAAGGCTGTTGCAATTGTACTTTTCTGTAAACATGAAAGGATGCAGCGCTCTTGCAATGCGTAATGATGGGAAAGGCCTTTGTTTTTCGAGGATGTCCACAAACTGCAAAAAATATTGATGTTTTTATTCATGGAAGGACTCGGAAAGTAGATCAACTGTGATCTAAAACGTTGGGACTTTTAAAAAAATATTGGTTTTTTTTAATTTATTTAACAGATAACAGATAATCAGAGTTGGAAGGGACCTTGTAGGTCATCTAGTCCAACCCCCTGCCCAAGCGGGAGACCCTACCCTATTTCTGACAGATGGGAGTCCAATCTCTTCTTGAAAGCCTCCAGGGATGAAGCTCCCACAACTTCCAAAGGCAACTTCTGTTCTATGGGTTGATTGTTCTCACTGTCAGAAAATTTCTCCTTATTTCCAGGTTTATTTATCATAGAAAATAAAATACAAAATTTTCGATTCCATATTCCATTCCGTTCCCTTCTAACAGAGGCATCGAATCAAGATCACGTGAAGTAATAGTACCGCTTTATAAAGCCTTAATAAGGCCACGCCTGGAATGCTGCATCCATTTTTGATCACCACGTTATAAAAAAGTTGTTGAGACTTTGGAAAAAGTGCAAAGAGGAGCAGCTAAGATGATTCAAGGCCTGGAGACAAAAACATATGAAGGAACCGTTGCAGGAATAGGGTTTGGGTGAGTCTAAAGAAAAGAAGAATTAAGGGTGACATGATGGCACTATTCCAGTATTAGAGGGAGTCAGCCTAGAATTAGAATTAGAGTAGAATAGCATAGCATAGCATAGCATAGCATGGCATGGAATTAGAATAGAAATAGAATAGAACAGAACAGAACAGAATAGAATAGAATAGAATATTGGCCAAGTGTGATTGGACACACAAGGAATTTGTCTCGGAGCAAATGCTCTCAGCATACATAAAATAAAAGATACATTCGTCAGGAATCATAAGGTACAACACTTAATAATAGTAGTTGTGGCTGCTCCATCACTGGTGGTCTTTAAGAAGAGACTGGACAGTCATTTGTCTGAAATGGTACCATAGAGTCTCCTGCTTGAGCAGGAGGCTGGACTAGAAGACCTCCAAGGTCCCTTCTAGCTTCCATTCCATTCTAATTCCTATTCCACTCTTCTCTCCTCTCTTCTCCTATTCTATTTCTATTCTATTTCTATTCTGTTCTGTTCTATTCTATTACAAAAAAAGATGTTGAGACTTTGGGAAAAGTGCAGAGAAGAGCAACTAAGATGATTAAAGGCCTGGAGACTAAAACCTATGAGGAACAGTTGCAGGATTTGTGTATGGCTAGTCTAGAGAAAAGAAGGACTCGGGGTGACATCGTAGCAGTATTCCAGTATTTGAGGGGCTGCCGCAAAGAAGAGGGGATTATTTTCCAGAGGACTAGAAGGCAGGGCAAGAATCAATGGATGGAAACTACTCAAGGGGAGAGCACCAGCCTAGAATGAAGGAGAAATTTCCAGACAATGAGAACAATTAACCAGTGGAACAGCTTGCCACCAGAAGTTGTGGGTGCTCCATCACTGGAGGCTTTCAAGAAGAGACCGGACAGTCCCTTGCCTGAAATGATATAGGAGGCTGGACTAGAAGACCTCCAAGGTCCCTTCCGGCTCTATTCTGATCGAGTGATCTTCAAACTTGGCAGCTTTAAGCCTTGTGGACTTCAAATCCCAGAATTCTTCCTCCAGTCATGTTAGCTCAGGAATTCTGGGAATTGAAGTCCACAAGTCTTAAAGTTGTCAAGTTTGAAGACAGTTGTGATAGATGGATGGATGGGGAGACAGATAGATAGATAGATAGATAGATAGATAGATAGATAGATAGATAGATAGATAGATAGA